TAGGTGATTTAGGACAGGGGCTAACTTCTCTTTCTTACTCAGTCCTTCGCCTGACCTTGCAGTTGAGTTCTGAATCAAAGCCATATCGCAATATGGCTTTGGGCTCCGACATCATGGGCACCTTCACGGATCTTTCTTCATCCAAGTGGAAGTCTTGCAGCGTAGTTTTTGTGGGGTCAAACTTGGTCCCCCACTGCCCTGTTTTGATTTAGGACAGGGGCTAACTTCTCTTTCTTACTCAGTCCTTCGCCTGACCTTGCAGTTGAGTTCTGAATCAAAGCCATATCGCAATATGGCTTTGGGCTCCGACATCATGGGCACCTTCACGGATCTTTCTTCATCCAAGTGGAAGTCTTGCAGCGTAGTTTTTGTGGGGTCAAACTTGGTCCCCCACTGCCCTGTTTTTAAAAATAAGATAGGAATAATGGGAAAAGCTATTGCCCAGGTTTGTAGCCAGTAGAATCATATATGAAATAGCTCCCCTTTAGGGAATTTGTCTGGGAAGGCAGAGGGTGAGGGGTCAGAAAATCAGTTACACCTTGCAACTTTGTCTTATTGTTACTGTTGGCTCTCTAGTCCCTTCCACGCTATCGGAGGTTTGACCAGTTTGGACTTGTCAGCCGACACATGCTGGTTGGGTGGAGGAGCAGCTGGAGAGAGCTGATATGTTATTTATGTAATTATAAAACTATTTTATATGCATAAATAAAAGTGGCAAACCCTTTGTTGTTTTGCTCATTGTCTTGAAATGTAAGCTGTCCAGGATAGGGACCGTCTGTGTCCCAGTGTTAGAGCACCCAGCACAATGTGGCTCTGAGCCTGCGTAGGCCAGTAGCTTCTCTTGTAACATAAATACTTGACGTCTGGATTCCCTAAAACCGCTCCCCAGTATCTCCTGTTCACGGAGAGCCGTGCTGTGGCAAGCACAGTCCTGAATCCTGTTGGACAGGACGCTCTGTCTTTCATCCTTACAGGCTTTCATCTTCCTCCTTCCCTGACCCCTTTCTGCAAGCAGGTCCAAACTGTGACTCCTCCCCTGCGGAAGCTTTTCCATGGCCATCAGCCCTACCTCCTTTACTAAACTCGGGGTAGAGCAGGGGTTGGGGCCCTGGCCCATGGCTTGTCAGGGCGAGCTGGTGCATCCCTCAGCTCCTGTTGGCCAGGAACAGCAAACTGGCCGGTGGGAGCTGCAAGCAGCTGTGCCTGTGGATGTCTGCCAGCTGCAAACCCTTGCACACCATGTGCGGGCAGGAGAGTCCCACCCTCGCAGTCGAGAATCTATGCCCAAGTGCTCAAAGAAGTTTCCTCCTGTCCCTTAGTCTTTTTGCCTGCCTCTTCAGTGTGCGCAGGCCAGAAGACCTTCTCTCCCGTGTTTTCTGGCACGCGGCAAGGAGGCCCGTACACAGAAACACCACGAGCTTTTACCTTTCAAATAAGCTGCCCCAATGAGGCAGATGCTGATGCTGGTAGGTATCGCCTTCAGGAATTTGACCATTTTCCCCTTGGTCTGCTGTTGTACCCAGTTGTTGATGTCTTGAAGATCTGAGTTGGCATTGCCAGTCAGCACCTTGGGCCGTGCTCCATAGGACTTCTCCAGCTGGCTCACAAACCCTATTTTCATTCTTAGTTCTGAGGGGCAGAGAGACCATTACTGCAGCCTGCTCCTGCTGTCAGACGAAAGCTCAAGGCAGTGAACAACCCATACCCTTCCCTGAAATGCTGACGGATGTGTAAGTCTGGCCTGTGTATTGCAACCCTGGGTATGTGCAGAACCCTAGAGCATCTGATTGAAGGGGCGTATTTATCAAGTCTCATGGCCTTATTCTGTGCTCTAGTCTGGCAAAACCTTCAACTAACGGGTAAAGGGGGCACCCTGTAGCTGCCACTGAGCCCTTTCCCTATGCTGCTTTGTGATTACTGTTTAGTGAGCAGCTTGGATCTTCCCCAAGCCACCAGGGAGATGATACCGTTCTTCTCAAGGTGTCTAGAGCAGAGTGGAACATGGCGTTTGTTCCTGACTCGGGGGAGGGAGGGGGAGCTGGTTTCAAAGCTGTGCTGGTCAGTGTTGTAACGCAGAAGAGAGAGGAACCGCTGGAGTCAAGCTTAGAGGAGATCCTGGGTCCCTTCTGTGCCAGCTGCTCTGTGGCCAAGTGCCCTGTTAGCACTTTTTCTAAGCTTTTGTATGGGGACCCCCAACACCGTTACTGCCTGGTGTGTTCAGCACAGGGCAAAGCAGCTGCTGCGGCTCCAGACACAGTTTCGTCCTGTAACTGAAGCCGTCCAGGACTGTTACCCATCCATTGTGCTCTACTGCCTGCTGCTCCAAGACTGACAACATTGACTTAGGCAGGCTAAGAAAGACTTTTACTTCTCTCCACAACAATGCGGGTGGCACTTCTTAGGCCCTTGGCAGGTGCAGTGATGCTGGCCAGCAGCTCCTTGTAGGTGTTGTGCACCTCAGCCTTGTCAAGCAGGTCGTAGAAGAGAGCCCGAGAAATCAAGCCTTCCGTTCGCTCTCCAGCACCTGCCAACCGTAAAGGAAGACGCATGAGGCCTGTAGCCATGCACCAATATGCAGGAGGAGGAGAAGCAGGAACTCACCTAGTAAAAGGCCAGAGAGTGCGGTAGCCACACTGAAGGGAGACAGTAACACATTGGCAGTAGGAGTCTTGCTTGACTGCTGGCGATACAGGTCATAGCCAAAGTTGGAGACTGCAGCTGCAAGTTTGTTTACAGGACTTTTGTAGAAGGGATCTTCCTCCTCCACTGCCTCCGTGTTGCCTCCTTCAGGGATACTGGAGTCCTGCCAGGCACAAGACATACTGTTTAGAAATGCTCTTTACCAGAGGGCATGAGCAGTAGTGACAGCCAGAGCATCGGTCACTTTGCAGCCTTTCCTCTGGGAGCTAGGGAAGTACTGACCTTGTGGGAGAACTGAGGGTTGCACAGTGTAGGCAAAGCTGGGCCTAGAACCTAGTCCTTCCTGCTGTATCTTGTGGCTCCACCCTGCTTTTACCTAGGCAGAACAGGACTTACTTTCCCATGTAAGTGCCAGTGAGAGTCCTAGGCTGTCTGTGGCTGCTCTGGAAGATGGTACTTAATGTTCCCCTTTCAAAATTTAATTTTGGAAGTTTTATGCTCCAAGTTTCTCATTCTCCTCATCAAGTTTTGCCTTGCACTCACCTGCTCAGCAGCCAGATCCTGAGCACTGCTGGGCGTAGCTAGGAGCATGAGCCACAGGAGAACAACCAGAGTCTGCATGGTGGAAGCTAGAAGGGAAAAGCACAGTAGAGCTAGATGTGCTGTAGTCAGTCTGCCTCCTTGTTTGTCCCAGCTAGCTCCGTCCTCTCCACCTAGCAGGTGCTGAATGTGCCCTTAGCATCTGTCTGCAGCAAGGCCTGGTGCTGCTTTTGAATAAAGACACTTGTGCAAGTGCAGCAATTCACACTGGGGCTGCGTCTACACTGGCATGATTTTCTGCAAATGCTTTTAACGGAAAAGTTTTCCGTTAAAAGCATTTTTGGAACAGAGCATCTAGATTGGCAGGACGCTTTTGCACAGAAGCACTTTTTGTGGAAAAGCGTCCGTGCCAATCCAGACGCGCTTTTCTGCAAAAAAAAGCCCCGATCGCCATTTTCGCAATCAGGGCTTTTTTGCGGGAAACAAATCTGAGCTGTCTACACTGGCCCTTTTGCACAAAAGGACTTTTGCCCGAACGGGAGCAGCATAATATTTCCGCAAGGAGCACCGAGAATCTTTCATGAGATCGTCAGTGCTTTTGTGGAAATTCAAGCGGCCAGTGTAGACAGCTGGCAAGTGTTTGCGGAAAAACTGGCCAGTCTAGACACAGCCTGGGTGAAATAAAAGCTGAGTTAAGTGGCTCCTGCTGTGGGCCTGCACATACGTACACCCCCTGCCCAGCCCCCAATTCATTCCTAGCCCCAGCCCTGCTCCCTGCGTAGCTGTCTCCTGGGAGGGTCACTGCTTGCAGGAGCATGTTCCTACCGCACCATTCAGCAACACTGATGGGCTCCAGAAGGAGTCGGGGGAGCTCTTCCTCACCCTAACGCATACCAAGGGATAGCAGCTAAAGCAGAGAGAAAGTACAGGCCAGGGCTGGCCTCACTCAAGAGTCCCAGTAGAACCCACCCACACATGCCCCCAAGCTCCCTGGAGCCAGTAACCCTGTTCTTCAGAAATCCAGTGTTAACCTGCGCGGGAGGATTCTGTACAAGGCTGTCTGGTCCAAGAGCTAGTGTTACCCAAGCTTTCTTCCTAGAGAAATCAGAGCTGTGCTGGGATGCCATGTCCCTGAGGTCAGATGCCAAAGGGGTAGGGACAGGGGAAAGCAGGGTTTGTATACATTCCAGAAAGTGAAGCAAGGGCACTTGTATTCAACTAGCCAGAAGAGCAGGAGCCTGCACATGTGTTTCAGATTAAATGCAGTTCTAAAGCAAACATGGCAGTTGCTCGAATTACAGACTCTTAAAGCCACGTCTCCACAATGGCTACAATTTAGGGACCATCCTGTTCAGGCAGAGAATTCCCTCGCAAGAGAAAGACAGCTTTCCTAGCCGCCTCAGGGTGGGATACAGTGTGCCCCTACCGCACCCGCCAAAAGATTCTTCTGTCATTGTTTCTGCTTGGAGCAGACCTGAAACCGGCGATGCGGTCCAGTTTTACAAGACCCGGGGAGCCTCCCCACATCTGTGCACGCTTACTCAGGCATCATCCTCCAGCTAGGAGAGAAGTATCGTGGATTTCTTTCCAGGGCAGAAAATATACACTGAGTGGAGCTGCTGTGCTGGACCCAGGCAATGTTAGGTGGTGTGATGGTTGAGATTCAGGGACTTCTTGTTCCTGGGAGAGTGAGCCTTATGGTGGGGATTTCTGAGCAGAGAGGGTCTGGCTGCATGTTGTCAGCAGATGCCTGCTGCAAGCAGTTTCTTCACCTGTCTCTCCTGTTTACTGTGGGAGGTTTGGCCTGGGCTAAGCATGAGATGTGGGTTTTCCATGAAGTGTGGCCTTTTCTCTGAAAAGAGGCTTTATATACCCTCTGCTCCCCACTGCGCGGTGTTCCTGGAAGCATGAGAGAGGAGGCTGCATTGCCAGATTTTATCATCTTTGCCGAGATTGCCACCAGCCTCACATTGCGCAGGCTTTGCCAAGAAGTGATTTCCGTTTAGTGACAAAGCCCCGCTGAGCATCTGGATTCTATTTGTGCAGTTACGATGCGTGCAGCCAAAACTGCAGAGAGAAAGTTCTTGCGGAAGCAGAGCTGGGGTGCCTTCTAGAATGACTTCAAACCCTAGCGCTGTGTAACAAGAAAGGAGAAGAGCTGGAGCATGCAGCCTGTGATCTTAGACCCAGAAAGTGCCGGTTGGAAAACCAGCTAAGAAGATATTTCCAAAGCGTGAATTGTCCTATCCCTGGATCTCTTCAGCTGTGAAATAAAACGCCGTTTCCCCAGACTAGGGAGTCAGGAAAGTTTCCTAACTACCCTTAAGCGCATTTGCAGCTCCCACACTTATGGGGCCTGTTTCTTTCTGTTGGGGGAATGTGTCAGAGCCCCTTATTGAGAGGGTCCAGCTTGATTTTCTGCTAGACTCAGTTTCTGTTGCCAAGAAAAGACTCACAAGTGCTAACTGATGCTGAATTGTAGCCCCCTGCTCATCCATGCTCGATCCTCAGAGAAAGGACCCTGGGTACCAAGCTCATTTCTGGCCTCAGTCCCCAACAGCATCTGGCCCCCAAACCCTCCGTGCGAGTTCCCCGTTTTCAACCCACTCCTGTTCCCCAGGAGAATTTCCTTACTCTGCAGCCCACAGCATCAATCCCAGGCCCTGCAAGAGGGGGGGCCCGCCCATTGATCTGGGTATTCCCATTGCTACTAGCTGAGGGCCAGTGGGGCTGGAAGCAGGGTGAGTTGCTCCTTACCTCGGGCTCCTCTCAGCCAATACTGTCCTGTGCTAGCACCCTGGATGAGAGTGGACAGCATGGAGTTTATAGCAGCCGCATCTGCTGTCTGTGCTGCCTGCCAGCAGACTGCCCCCAAGCCCAGCCTTCAGCAGGCTTCAGATTACACTTCCAAGGGCTCTCTTAAAGTGATCTGTTCTCTTTTTTGATCCTGTGATTGTCGCTGCCTTGAGCCCTGCACTCGCTCCGGCTGCCAGAGCAAATGCCCCCGTCAGTGGTGAAAGCACAAGGCTAAGAACCAGTTTCTCTGACTTCCATTTTCTGCTCTGCCCCAAGCTCCTTCGGTGACTTTGGGCAAGTCAGCTCCCCGCTCAGTGCTCTGGCTTCCCCCTCTGTACAGTGGGACTGTTCTTTCCTACCTCGGGGGATTATACAGTGCTTAGTGGTTGCTGTATAGGAGCTGCAGTAGCATCATTAACCCATTAACCTTTCACTGAGAAGCCCTTGAGCCAGCAGCAGGATCCAAATGCTGGTTTAAAGCTGCTAAGGAGAAAGAAGTGGGGAGTGGCTCTAGCCACAATGCAGGCACAGCGTTAAGGAGGGTTACCCTGAGCGGGGCTGGGCTGTCTTACCATTGCTGCAAGCTGCTTGTCTAGGGGAAATGCTGAAAGAGTAATGAGCGCAGCTGTGCCAAACCCCACGCCTGGGATTGGCCTGGAATCTCTGCCTGCTGGGCCACAGGCCTTATTCTCTAGGCAATGAGAAGCATAAAAAGAACTTACTCCGATGTGCACTCCTCCTCTTCAGGCCCTCATCTCATGGGAAGAAGGGCTGACTTGGGATAACCACATACACCACAAGCCCCCCTCTCTGCGAGCTGGAAAAGCAAATCATCCCCACTAGTTTCTTGTGTCTCGATGCTGCTTCGCTTCCCTGCCCGCGGCCAAGCGAGAAAAGAGCAGCAGTAAGATGGACAGTGATGGCCTTCTGTGGAAACTGCTTCTGGACTTGGTCTGTGAGCAGAGCTCGCTGGAAATACGCTGGTCCCTGTGACCCCGGCTGCGTTCACCTGAGGCTGTGATGTTGCTCTTTGGAGATTAGCAATGGGCATTTCCCTCCATTTCCTCTTAATGGATGTGTTTAGTACTCAAATCCCTTCATGAAAAGCTTTGGGCTGATTCGTCTACACAAGGAAGTTGCACCAGATTAACTATGGGTGTGATTTAAACCAGGCACAGGCTGCGTGAGCACACTTCTTTTGCATTAGCTAAGCCAATTACTCCTTTTCTGTGTGGAGAGCTCTGGCAGTTCAAATGTCATTAAACCAGGGCAAACCCCCATGGACACGGAGTCAGCATGTGCTTTCTGAACCTCGTTAGGCCTTAAGTCGTGCACATTTTGCCTGCTTGATGTTCCTAGGGCTTTGCTAGAGTGAAGAAATTCAGTAGTGTTTCAAGTATTAACGTTATCCAAAATATTACATTATTGATGGCTTCACCCTCTGGGAATTACTCTCAGGATAGAGCCTCTGTACCTACATGGGGGAAGAGATCTGAAAATAGAGGGCTCTTCAGTCTAGCATAAAAAGTTATAGCAAGATCCAATGGCTGGAAGCTGAAGCTTGACAAATTCAGACTGGAAATAAGTGCACATGGGAAATTCTCCATCACTGGAAATGTTTAAATCAAGATGGGAGTTCTTTAAGACCTATAGTTCCAACAGGAATTAATTCTAGGAAATCCTATGGCCTGTCTCATACCTTTGAGACTAGAATACCACAGTTATCCCTTCTGGCCTGACAATGGTGATTGAGCTTTGCTTTACCAGATCAGTTCAAGGGTTATTTCCAAGATGTGTAAATTTTAGGAAGCCAGGGCATTGTACTGTGGTGAGATGGCATGAGCCTGACTGTTAATAATACTTTGCTTTTCTATACCACTCCTCTAGAGCCTCTAAAGACTGCACCAAATCTCATGAATTAATGTTGATGAAACATTATTTACTGAATATAAAAATGTCATTGTGCCTTATACATAGCACAGCAGGAGCTAGGCATTACCTCATGGAACAAGGTGAAGATGGGATTATGGGAAGAAAAGCAGGAGGGAACTGGCAGAGTGAAATAAGAACTGAGGCCAGGTCTACACGAGGGCAGGGCCGGCTCGAGCTATTCCTGCGCCCTGGGCAGCGGGCGTGCAACGCATGCATGGCTCCGCCCACGGGTGCATGGCACATGCACGGCCCTTGACTGCCGCTCTAAGGGGCGCCGCGTGGCCCCCGGCACGCAGCGCCTGATGGCAGCTCTAAGGGGCTCCATGAGGCCAGGCACATGGCGCCCCATACTGCTGCTGTCAGGCACCCCCCATAGGTTGGCGCCTGGGCAGCTGCCCGGCTAGCCCCACGCTTAATCCAGCCCTGCATGAGGGGCCAGTGCTGAACTAAGATACACAACTCCAGCTACATGAAAAGCATAGCTGGAGTTGATGTACCTTAGTTTAAATTTCTGCAGCATCTCCACTGCCAGTGGTTGATGGGAGATACTTTCCCATTGACTTCCCCTGCTGTTCATGTCCCAGCGGAGTACCGGAGTTGACCTTCATGCAATCAGCAGCCAATTTAGTGAGTCCTTGGTAGACCCACTCAATCAATCCCTGGGAGATTGATCTCCACAGCGTTGATCTCTGTATAAGTGGAGACAAGGCCTGAGTTGTTCAGGGCATTGAAGAGGAAGAAGACTTTGCGTTCTGCACAAGGGGAGCTGGAAGGCAGTGGTGTGAAAGATCACTTTAGCTCAGTATTTTGAATAGAATGGAATGCAGGAAGGTGCAAATCAAGGAGGTTTCAGTAGCTAAGGCTTGAATTACTAAAGCATGGACCAGCATCTCTAAGGCAATAATTATGAGAGCAAAGCAATCTGAAAAGTTTTCTGAGGG